AACCTGCTCTTTCTATACTGATTGTTGCTCTTCTCTGTCCTCTGGAGCTGAAGTATTTATGGAAATTACTTTTCTGGATGCCTTTTTCATTGGAAGTTGCAGAACGGTATAAACAGCCTCTTGTGCACTTATTTCAACAAATGTAATGCCTATGTCTCTGACTTTTTACTTACTAGTAGCTTTTCCTTTCCTTGGTTCAGAGCATTTATTAAATGAAGAACTTCTTAAATTTGTACCATGCAGAGCATCTTTAAGCAGTTCATTGAAAAGATTTGCCACCTGAGGTCATTGAAGCAATTTGGATGAAGTGAAACTTCCTACTAGCTCCTCGTTGTTTTCTGTTGTATCCAGACCACTGAATGCCAATGATTTTTTCATACCCTTTGAAAATGTTCTGGAAAAGGCATGGTTTTAATCTTTTAATATTTTTCTTGAGGGGGACTTTGACTGTGATTTTATTTATATTTTGCAAGTGGATGCACTGAATTCGATGAACTTAAACTCAAAAGAATTACTGCATCTACTTAATTTTTATGATATGCAAAATTTGATTTGTGAACAAACAAGAGTAACACCTACATTTTCTACACTCACTATTTAGTTTGTCTACCAGATGAGTAAATTAAATTACCAATGTGAAAACCAGAAAAGGAAAGTGAGGGTCAATATTGACATAATTAAGAGAAAAACAGAACAAGCTAAAACAACTTCTGATTACTCCACATGCATCTATAAAATTAAGATAACCTGTAACTGACAATAAGAATGAGTCACAGTTCAGTCATTTCTTCCTCACTTTTCTATTCTGCTAAGCTAAAGAGAAAGTTCGCGTCACGATGACTTTTGACAAGTACATTTGCTGATATTCTCTTTCAGTAGAGACAATTATGGGGCCTTGTTATGCATGGGCTTTGATGGTATATGGAGGCCAAGGTCTTCACACATGTGCTACAACATGGGTAGCTTCTAGATCTTCAAAGAGTCATTTAACACCATTTAACAAAGATCATATTGATCATAGATCAGGGGATGGACAAGTTGTATTGATGCGACAGTCTCCTTTGCCTTACATATAGTTACTCTCCTCTTAAGCTGCTTGGATATCAGACTCATCAGGATCTCTCAGATGTACCAAGGCACTCTGTCTTGATAAGAAAGAGGTGATCTGGGTGGTTGTGAGGAATTCAGATGACTAGATTAGTAGTGTACAATTGGTGCCCCAGGCATGCCACATCTCTTGAGCAACTACCTCTGGGTCAAGCTTGTGGCCTGACGTCTGCCCTACTTGAAATTTATATAAAAGGTATGAGTTTTACTTTTCACTGAATCTGTAAGCCTTCTTTACTACTTGAAGAGCCCAGCCTTCTTTCAGAGAAACAAAAGATTTTTCCTGTCGCACAGGGGCTTGAAGCAATGGCAGCTTTTCCACACCTTCTTCCAAATATGATTTGTGGCCAATTTTTGCCATGTCCATTAAAGAATGTTTTTCTGGTACCCAGGTACATTTTTGAAGTGACAAGTGCTTTTGTATGGCTGAAAGCTTTTGAAAAATACAAATGCAGCTGTCTTGAGGACATGAATACACCCCTGCTGCCTAGCCATGTTCCATGGAAGCTATCTCTTCAGCCACATTTTCTTCCCCTGACAATTTGTGTGAGGTACTTTTAAAGGAACAAAAATCCTCTGCAAAATATGATGGTTGCAGAATCCCTTGTCGAGGGCCTTTAAAAGTAATAAGAGAAATATAAATATGACAACCACACAGCTAAGAAATGATTATCTTGCATTAACACGCAACCCCCAAAGGCAGCCCATGACAGAGTACCATGTAAGAGGGGTTTAAAATACCTACCCCTTTTTCTTGTATTTTGTTTGTTTGAGCAGCATTTTGTTAACATTTAACCTCTGATAGAAAAGTCTTTTATGATGCCTTGGGGATAAAGTTTTTCCCTAATTAATCGAAATATTACAGAACAGACTGCCATAAACTAGCAGGAAGGCCTGGTTTCATTTAAGAACCATGAACTCACCGGAAGATGATTTTTCTATTTTGATCACTTTCCCTTGGCCGACAGAATTATGCATGTCAACAGGAAATAGAGCCCACTGAACTAAACTCAGAGTTGTTCAACTCGGTGATTCCTGCAATGGTTTGTGCATCGTCTGGCATTTCTTCTTTGGTATCCAGAGAAAACACTCGTACACCTTCCAAACCACCATGGGATAGCAGAGCTTCCTTCAGGTTGCTGCTTCATTAATAAACGTTCTAATGTGGCTTTTACAGCTTGCAGCTAGTCAATCTGCAGCCCCTTTCCTGCCTTGAAGGTTGCTGAAATCAACACGGACTACCTTCACTCTGGTGTTTGCTAAAATTTCATGGCACTTCATTAGCGTGCAGGAGGAATGGTAGCAGCCAGCGTTATCTTGCCTAAAGTAGGCCTTGTTGATTTTAGGATACTCTTGCTTCAATGTGGCAAGAACTTGTTGCATAATCGTGGTAACAACAGAACTTCCTTGGGTACAGGACTGAATCACATGGATAAAGGCTTGCCACTGTAGCACACCCTTTATCCGTCTGTACACCACAGACATGTCCCAAGAAATACCTTGCATGCCAAACCAGTCTGTCTGCAACTCATGGTATCTCTGAGGCAAGAACTTCATGGCCCAGTCATTTACAATGAATACTGTTCCAGAATTAAGGGCATTGATCACGTCCAAACAAGCCTGATCTTGGTGGGTCGACCTCATAATATGGCACTTCCATGACGGGATGGCAAGAGTAGCAGAGCTAGCGAGAAACAAAGCTTCATCTTTGTCCTCTGTGGTAAAAGATGCTTCATCGACCGCAGTAAATACATTATTCAGGGTTGAATGCAAACTTTCACATTGGTTACATAACTTGTCATGGTCGTGTTGGAATTGCTGTCGTAGGTCAGAATCTTCGGTGTCACTCAGAGCAAATACACTGCAATAACTTGCATCTGGGGACGAGGAGCTTATGTGAACTTGAGTGAAAATATGAAACACAGCTTAACACAAAGCATGGATTACCTTGTTAATGCAACTTTAACAACAAAAAATATATGCAATATGTATGTTTCATGGTATCTGAATCAAATAACCACAATAATCTGAATGGATAAAATCTATTACAAATGTATTTGTTGTTTCTCCAAACTCATTGTTCACATTGTTCTACTAACAAAAAACAAACATAAAGAGCAAAAACCGAGAAATATTTCCTGGCCAGGGTGAACCTGTCATCAGAACAATTTTTTTCGTGCTATACCTTCATCTATTTGCGAAATAAGATCGTTCTGCTTGAAAAACATAATCTAATCTTTTTGGACCTCTTGAAACTTTTGGTTGCTTACCCTGAAATTGCCCTTCAGGTAGAATTTGGCCACCTTAAACGATTTACCAAGCTCCCCCAGTTGAAGAACCAAGCCTTCCAGTTCATTGAATGCAGGGACCCCTTCTGCTACGAAATAGTCAAGGCCTTGGAGAGACTTTCTGGTCGAGGCCTTGCATTCATTCAGAACATGCAGCATCATCAGCTTGCTGAACGCCTTAGATCCAGTCTTGGTGCAGTACTGGGTATGCTGACGTGCTCTCCTTTGCGGTATCGTGGTTTGAATAACATTGGGTACTTTAACCAGTTGTCCAGAGGAGAACTTCAGTGTTTTTGGTCCAAATGGCGGATCTTGCATCAAATGGGGACTTGGTATATAAGATGAGAAGTGATCCAGTCGTCTTGGGTTGACTCTTACCTTTGATGAAGGTTGGGGGGTCACTTCAGTCTTCCAATCCTCAAATAAAAATGATATTTCGTCATCCTTTAACTTGAGTTGATGTTCTAAATTTTCAGTTGCAGTTGAAAATGGGTCGTCATGTTCTCTTAGGTCAGTTTCTGAACCTGATAATTAACCAGAGTTTTCAATGTTTTGTATCTGAATCTAGGACTGTGTGTAGTGATTTTGCTGCTTTCCTATTGCTTGTGTTTATCGTTGCTCTGTCAATGGGCTTTGTCCCCTTTGGCTTTTGACAGTAAAACAAACTTTGTAGGCACAGATTCTGGCTTCAAGTAAGTTCTTTGTCCACCTAATGGTTTTGTGAGACAGTCAGCATTTTAATGCTGACTACAAACATGAGAATGTTTGGTTAATGGAGCGTTCCCAATGTAGTTTAACAAGTCATTCCTTGAACAATTTCTTGTTCGAAAGTAGGAGTGAATGCCATGACAAGTCCTTGCATTCCCATTTGGAACTTCTATTTTTGCATCCAAATGCTATGCAGTGCTTAACCATACTTTAAGGCACTAAAAAAAATTGTCAGTAAATACCAGGCAGTTCAGTACCAGCAACAGAATGCATCGCCAAGCTTGGCCCAATAGCCTCATGTTGGTGTATGCTAATCAAGAGACTGCTGATTTTATGGACTCAACTCTAACGAGAGCCATTAAAGTCTTCTCCAAAGTCATCGTTCACAAGCATTGCTCTCTGTTTCAAGAACTGAAGAAAGTCCACAAATCTGGGTCTCTGGCCAGACTCGATGATCCTACCCACACACTCGCTTCACTTGACTCATAAACAATGGAAGCTGTCGCTTTAGTTCTCTCAGAGTGTTTGTGTGGCTTAAGTCACCCACATACTGAGGCCCCATGCCTGTAAGGGTTCTTTCAGCAACATTCAAAGACCTAGAAAATGCTAGTAGACGCTGTCCATCTTCTTGCTTTAGAGGAGGTAAGTTCTCTAGCTTCTTGGTATGTGCATTTGCTATTATGTGAGGTTTGCCCAAGTTCTCACCAAAGTGTTCTTCGCACCTTAATAACCCTCTTCCACTGGTAAGTTTCCACAGCTTTCAATTGCATCTCGCACTTTGCCATAGCAATGCTGAATCAGGAGCTGTAGTCTCCTGGAACTGTTGAGATTGCCTTTCTCTAAACAAGTTTCAAAGTTATGTTTGAAAGTTGTTATAAACAAGACATACTTTAACAGGTTCCCATCAAAACACATGTACTCTACTTTAGGTGATAAAACAACTTGACATAATGCTTGTGCAATTTCCTCTCTACTTCCTTGTCTAGGTGCAATGTTACTTTGAGGTAAATGTTCAACTAGTCGAGACAAAGGTGTTTGCACAGACCCTTGTTTAGGAAATCTATCTGAGTGTGGTGGCTTAAGAGTAGCTCGCATATGATGTTCAAGTGGGCATGATGACTGAAACTGGACTGGGAATTGCTTACAAGTTTCAACAAGGGGTGACGACTGGAACTGAACTGGTACTTTCTGAGACCTACTATTTGATCCTGGTTGGTGTCTTAAACTCTCGGCCTCCCCTTTACTGTGTGGCCCAATTTCATGTTTGAAAACTTGAACAGCAGGAGCATATTTAGTTAGTGGCAGCACTGAGTTGGGTGTGGCATTGATGGTTGGCATGCATGTTTGAGCACTATTTAAAGTTTCAACTTTATAGATGTCTCCTGGTATACACAATTGCTCCAATGTTACTTATACTTGTGCAGGTGAGCATTCAAAGGGAATAGGCTGTGCTCCAACAATTGCCCTTCCATAATTCTAGGTTAGCATTTCATTCAAATTACATGGTTTAGTTCTTTGTGTAGTAGATGATTCAAGCTCCATTGACACAATGTCCATATTATCTCCTCTTTCTAAATTGTCAATCTTATTTTCTTCAGCTTGTTTGTTAATTTCAAGCCTAACTATTTCCCTCTCCTTCTTCCATTTGGGCCTCCATAAACTCCTTCTCATACTCCAATTCTGTCATTTTGCACTTCAATTCTTGTTCTCTTAATAACTTTTTCGTTTTCAATTGTTCAAGAGCTAACCTCTCCTTTTTCTTTACCACTGAGGATGAAATAAAAAATTAAACGAGCTTACCTGTAAGTGAAGTTTGATTGTAATCCGCCTGAACCATTACATAGGAAAGAAGGGATCATGTGTGATTGCACAAGGAAGCTTGCCTTTAAATGTTAACATTGTCGAGTAACACTGACCCAAGAGGGGGTAGGGATAATGAGTCATTGACTCAGTCAACACCTCAATGGGTAGGTACATAGTCCATTTGTTCTTACACAAAGGTTCAGGAGAATCACAATCAATCTTCACTTACAGGTAAGCTCATCCAATTTTTTATCTTCCCTTACTATTGCTGACATCACTATGGGATCATGTGAGATTTTAAAACAAGGTGATTACGAAACAACATTATTAAAGCAACAAGTTTAATGTAAGGACAGTAGGCATGTAAAAGTACAATATGAGACCTCAACAGTTGCATCCAAACTTTACTGTTAAACATTAGATAAGACTATCTGACCAAATTAGCATCAAGATTTTGTTCCATGCGTTTGTCATAAAACAGAGCAAAAGGAGACGCATTTGACCATCCGGTAGCTTTCATGATGGTTTCCATGTCCAAACCAGACTTCTTTGCAGCCGAAGTTGGGGCTGAACGGGTGCTGTGGGCTCCAACCTGGTTTGTATCAATACCAGCATATGCCAAAACACACTTGACCCATCTCCCAATGCAATCATTTGAAACTGCCTTATGTGGCTTTACAAAACTTACGAGGAGTTGAATTTCTTGTCATCTAAGAAGTTTTGTACAAATGACACTCCTGTAGACACTCTACAATACAGAGTCCAGGATCCTTAAAATATGCCTGAAAAACAAGGTCATGTAGATGAGTAACAGGTCTTGTTTATCTCGCTGGTTTAGAAATAGAAAATGAACAACTTGACTCTGTCAAGGTCATGTACCTAGTATCTAGCAGGTGTATAGTTTGAATACGCTGACCTGACAATAACGTTAGCGGTATGGTGGGCTTCTAAGAGAACACCTTCAATGATAATTTTCGAACATGCTCAAATTTGCGTAAAAATTCTAACACAACATAAACGTCCCAAGTACTTGTGTACTTTTTTTAGAGGGCCTCCTCTCGCGAATCTTACAACTAAGAGATTGCCTCCAGCAGGTGTGTCGTCAGGAAAAACAATGACAGCTGACAATGCACTCCAAGCTGTGTTCAACCAGCTATATCAAATGCCAGTTTGAAAACTTTCAGTCAAAATTCAATAACATCTGTCACGGTTGGTTGCAAGGGATCACAATACTATTTAGCTGAAAACTTATACCATCTCATAAGGTAGGTCCTGTACTGTTTCTTTGTTGATTCTCATCATGATGACATGACAGTGTCAATAACTTGTTCTGAAAGTCTTTGAAATTTATAAACATCCTGATGATTTGCAAGCCATCAGAGTCCACTTGTGGTGGAGTGGGTGAAAGGCATAGGGGTTGTATGGCTTTTATGGCAGCTAGAGCACTTTCTTTCCTTGAGGAAGAATGAGAGGTTCCTGATCAAGGAGGCACAACAAAATTGGAAGCCATGCCTGTGTTGTCTGCAGTGGCACAATAAGTATCCTCGAGGCTTGGTCAGCTTCCACCTTCTTCCACCTATCAATGAAATTGAAGGAGGAAAAGCATAAAAATAGTGTTCCCCCTAGTCAACAAAAAAAGCATATATGGCACCAGGGTCAGGGTGCCAAGCTTTGTAAGGCTTAGTCTGAAAATTAAGCCTGGATGCAAATAAATCAATAGATGGGGCCTCCAGGGCTTGTGTGATTGACACATAAATGTTGGAATCAAGCTTCCATTCTGTCTGATCATGAAAAATTCTGGAGGCTTTATCAGCTGTAGTATTACACTTTCCTGGCAAATGTGCAGCAGGTAGTCAAATAGCCCATGCAATGCACCACATCCAAATAGTTCTAGCAATTTGATTGCATTCAAGCGAATGAGTGCCCCCCATATTATTGATGTAAGAAACTGCTGAGGTGTTATCAAGAAAAATTCTCACATGGGTATGAGACAAGTTTTTATAGGAGGACTGTAATCCCAGGTACGCTGCTTTTAATTCAAGGCAATTAATATGCTGGTGAGCTTCATCAGGTGCCCAGTGGCCTCCTGTGATTGTCCCCAAAAAAACAGCTGCCTATCCATGTAGGGATGCATCTGTATTAAGAGTGTAGATGGATTACCTTGTGAAATAGGTTTAGAAACATTTTCAATGTTCTCAACCCACCACTGTAGATCTGACTCTGCTTTAGGTGACAGTGCCATGCTTTCATCAAAATTACCATGATGAAACTTAAGGGCAGCAGTTTTTTCCTTCTTTAGCTGCCTAGAGAACAGGGGTACCATAGCAACCCCAGGGCAACTGGCCACAAGTTTTCCTATGACAACTGCCACTTCCCTGATGGTAGGTTGTGTTCTGGTCAAAAGATCTTTGCAAACCTGTGTGATATTTTCCACCTTGGTATGAGACAAAGTGACAGTCATGGTCATGGAATTTAAGACAAAGCCTAGAGACTCTAGAACTTGTGATGGCTCTAAAATTGATTTGTCTGGGTGAACATAAAGGGCCAAACTATTAAAAAATTTAGTGGTGGCTTGAACATTATTCTCACATTCGAGCTTGATGATACTCTGTAAATCGGAATCAGGGGCGGATCCAGGAATTTTTGATTGGGGGGGTCCAAACTTTGGTTCAGAAGGGACTGTTGGACTCTTTTGAGGCAAATTAATTCTCCCCCACACACCCCCACACCCTCTCCCACCAGTCACGGTTGCACGTTACAATTCCTTGGCCACTTACTGTCGTACTACTGCTACTCGTAAAGGATGCACCCTTGGAACATCCTCCTCTTGTGTTTGGTTACAAAGATTGTACAGATTTCGTCAACATCAATGTCAAGGTCATGATGTAAGTGCATGAGTGCAAGTCCTGACAATCGCTTATCAGACATCCTGTTTATGAGATATGACTTGATTCATCGCAACCCAGAGAATAAACACTCAGCTTTGGCAGAACTAACAGGAAGGGTACAACCAATAATAAGCAAAAATCGTATGTTGCCAAAATGGCAGCTTTTCTGCTAAATTATGAAGACTGTCATGCTTCAGCACAGCAGATGGAACCAAGGAAAAATTTCGGCGCCAGCCTTGTTGTCTTTGCTGAATCTTGAACTAATTTTTTCCAATAAATGATCTATAAAAGGTATGGCAACATTAACACGATAATGTGATTCCGGGTTTACGCTAGCTGCATTGTTCCTATGTTCCTGCCTCCCAGTGATTCTTGGCACTGAGACTGTAACGTCAATCTTGTCAGCCAGTCTAGAGGCGTCTTCAAACCATTCATGACATTCCTCTTCTATGTTTGACCTCACCCTCGCAACTGCTTTAATAGTGTAATCAATCATACAATACGCTTGGAAGACATCTTGGTCTTTCTTCTGAAGCTTAGCTGCAATAGGTTTGAGTGTTCCAAGGCTACTCTGTGTGATCAAAAGGTGAAAATGAATCCGAATGACTTCCAATTTGCCAGAAGACCTTGTGCCTTGGTTTTAGTGTCCCTGTCCCACGTGAACGATAACGAGGAATAGACATGAGGATGCAACTCATGATCAACCATCGCTTCCAAGCTTTTGCAAATGTACTCATAAAGTTCGTAGAAAGTCTCGTAACATTCATGCCTTTCCACCCATTAGGTTTTGCACAAGCCTTTTAACTTCTCCTTTCTGGAAGTAGAACCTCACTTCTCTAAAACTTGTTCTAGAAATCGCTGTCTTTAGGTGAAAAATAAAAGAAAAGGAAAGTTTCATTTAAGGTTCCAATCTTGTTTCTGACTGAAGTTAACCTGCATGCCACTGTAACACTGAGATTCAAAACATGACTGTTGCAATGAGTGTACAGTGCCATCAGTGCTATTCTCCTTTTTCTTCCTTACACACCACATGGTTCTGAGGACATGGCACTGGCGCCATCATAGGCCTGTCTTCTTGGAAACACCACATTGATGTTGTTCTTGGCCAAAATTGACAAAATAGCGTTTGCTATGCTCTCACCAGTTGTTTTGTCAAGGTCGGCATGGTCAAAAAATACTTATTTGATTTTAGGTGAAACGTCATTGTTTAGATCTAAAAACATAAGGCAAACACTTAATATTTCTTGGTTTGCGTATCTATCTGCTACCTCATCGCCAATGATTGAGAAAAAAGTGTCTTCCTTCTGAATCAGCTGTATAACTTTCGCCCGAATATACTCTCCAGTGATGCAAATGACTTCCTCTTGTACAGTTTTTGAGATGCTTGTGGCATTTCTCCTACCAGTAAGTGTTCTTGAAGATTTTTATCAGAGTTTCCCAATAGCATAAGAATGGTATGAAAATTGCCTTTGTTGGATGCCGTGCTTGTGCTGTCATCTTGATGGCCTCTAAGAGAGATGTTCTGTTTGTCACACAATAATTATGGTACTTATGATTGCTCTCTGATGACGCTCAAGTACCCCATCTTTCCCAGTGGTTTTTTCTAGCTTTAGGAATGGAGCTGTTACTAGAGGCCTTTTCTGTGCTCGAGGATCTGATGGATTATTATGCATCACACAATACTTGCAAAAACCTCCCATTTGTGAAGGACTATATACAAGCCACGTATACTTTTCCAACCACGAGGGCTGGAACACAAGCTACATGGTATGTTTGTCTTTTCCCTTAACCACAGTCTTGGAGAAAAAGCCTGTGTACGAAGGAGGCGGAGTGAAATGGTTCTTAAGTTATTTAATTTTTTCGTGGGACTGAAGAGTTCTTGGATCAACTGTGCCATTTACGATGTTCCTGACATCAAAGTAGGATACAACATGCTGATCACTGGAAGAAAATTGGCAAACACCTATAAACCAATGAAGTCTTTTATTGAAAAATCGTCAAATTGATTTTTAACAGACTGTGATATGAAAACTGAACACTGACAAGCTAAATGTTTACTTTATTTGATAAATGTTTCTAAACTGAGTCAATGTACTGCACCCTTTAATTATTGTTGACAGTGAGACATTAAGGTCTTAGTTGAGAACAGAAAGCTTGCAAAGTGTTTTGCACATTTCTTTAAGTGACTCTAAAGATAGCTCGTTTCCGTTTAAGCCGAGGAAAAGCAGATTTGACAGCAGCAGTACAGACTGCAAGAGCTCACCCTTGTGAATAACTACCCTGTTAAGTGAAAGTTAAATTTTTACAAAAAGTAATCAGGGATATGTCTTTCAATGCAATGCAATCATTTAGGATCAAATACTCCAACTGGCGCATGCCTCTCAAGAAGGTCAGATTAGATACCAACTGGCTACTCAAATTTTAATAGTTAAGTCCATGAGACAAACATAGACTGTTACAAATAGCATGAGCAGTAGATTGTCTCCTTGAATTGATGTTTCTTGACATCAATATAGGCTACTGAGAAATTTCTGAAACCCCGTGCGTGCTTTCTGATTGTCTTTAACTGATCCTTGCTTAAATGAGTGATTCCCCATTCATTAAGGCAACATCGGTCCACAACATGTCACTTTCAGAGGTACGTCTTTATCTTCTGCATATGAGCCTTAGCTTGTTTATTATCTCTTTAAGACTAAAATACTTGAATACGACACATGTGATGTTGAAAAATTGTCAAATGATGGGGCTAAAGCTTTGTCGAAAACTGAAAATTAATTTTAGATGATACGCTGTCTGTATGAAGAGTGAAAGAAATGCTTTGAGAAGATTACGAAATAGATTGGCTTCGATAACAAAACCTAACAGAGATCATCGTGTTCTTTGACCAGAGCAAAAATAACAGAAATCATGGGAAATTAAAAGTGGATTTCCACTGTTGCGTAATTTTACGTACGTCAATGGGCGTGAATAAAATTGGCTTGTGTCTGCAGAAACTAAGAGTTCAACCACATTCAACTTTTTCCGCAGACGCAAGCCATCCGTACATTTTTCTGTGTATTTTCTATTTTGTTTCATTTTGGATGCGGTTTTTATGTGTATCTAGACCAATGAAATGCATGTTTGACATACTTTCACAAAGCAAGTGCAAGCTTGAGCGGCACTATAAAATGCTGTGTTTGGATCTTAAGTCTGAAGTGAAAATGTAAAACATTTTCGATAAACCGCACAAGAATAATAAAATAATTATATGGTAAACATGGAGCTGATAGTCACCTATAAAGCTGCGAAAAGGACCTAACTAATGGCGTCATTTATTCCTAAATGCAGTAAAATAAGTTAAAATGTATTTTAATACTGAGTTCTTTTCAGACGCTGGGTCTGTAAATAATTGGCTGCGTCAGTTTTGTTTCCTCGGGCTTATTTAGATATTTAATTTTACGTACCCTAGCCGAAAAAAAAAAAATGTCGATGCAGCATTTACCTTCGATAGCACCACTTGAAATTGGACCTTCCACTAAGACTTCGGTATCAAAATCAGAAAGCTCAACTAAAACAACAAACATACAAATATTTACTTCTTAACCATAGTCACTAACATTTCTCAGGAAATGGAATAAAAGCATAAAACAACTTACCATTTTCAAATTCCATGGCTTCAGCTTCAGAAATTCTTGGTGATCTTGGGGCATAGATACTGAATATGTGTCTTTGAGATCCACAAACACTGTAAAGCAATCTGGCCTGATTATGCTAATAACATCTTTCAATGACTCCATCTTAAAATGATGGTATGCCACAAATTTATTCACCTTTTTCAAATTGAGGATTATCTGATGAGTTCCATCTTTTTTAGGTCTCAAAAAGATAGTGGATAGGAATTCACCTTCCTCGTGTGAAGATTTTAAGAGGACATCCGTGCAAAAATCAAACAAAAATGAAATTTTTATGGCAGGGGTCAAAAATTCAAATTGTCTCAATTTTTGCACACTAGTAGACCCTATTAAGACAAGGAAGGCTGTGTATTTTTTTCCTCAAATATGTTTTTATTTTCTAGAAAAACGAACTTTTCGCTTTCACCCTCTAGAATCGATGGATCGCGTCATAACAGGTCGAAGATTGAACACTTTTGCTTGCTTCGCATTTCAAAGATATTATGTCTAAGGAAATCTTGTCAACGTGTGTTCTTTCATAGACTCTTCGTCTTCTGTAAAATGTAAGTTGTGTAGGAGTTGGTTGCTTAGAAGCTTTTAGCCATGCAAAAAAAAAATGTGCTCTCTTCCGTTACAAATAAAATGTCGGTGAAGAAAACCTCTTCAAGAGAACAGCAAAGTTTTTAATCGTATACCGTTACTGGCACTGGTGCATAATCGTACTAGACAGAACAATGGCAGAATATCTTTTGCCGAAACAAACTTCAAATGAAAAAAGGCAAAGTAATTTAACAAAACTGGTTATAGCTATGTCATTTGTTTCTGAAAAAGTTCTACTGTTCGATCCTAAGTCATTTCGAAGGCAGGAATGCTCCTTAACTCTTTGGTCACGCAATCAACATATTGCGTGATTTTATGTCTTCCGTGCG